TAAGATTTGCAAACCCTATTGCATAATTGGTATATCTTAAATGATAAGGACTCTTGTGACATCAGAGACTTGAAAATCCATTAAAAAAAGGAGACATGGCAATGAACTCGAGTATGAAAGCCTTAACCATGGCTTTCAAGTGGTGACTCTATGTAAGTTTTTTAAACCTTTATGTAGTGAGTGGCTATAGGGACACTGACAAATGTGTGCATGCTTGTGTACATGTGTGCATGCATGCATTCAGGACTTGGCTGCCAGTTACTGAGAGACCTATTGGCATCTAGTAACTAAGATCTACAGATGGGATGCCTCCTACAATGGATTCTGTTTATGAGAAATCATAAGTCCAAATAATGAGGCATTGGTAAGGAGACTAGCTTGGAAAAAAACAGTGAAAAAGCGAATTCAACAGCTATGTTCATAGTGAATTTATGAACAGTATATAATGGAATTTTAACTCTTTATTCAAATATGTTACTTAAACTATCAATTTGTGAGGATTTTGTTCATATTCTTGCCAAAGTTTTGCTCAGAAATACATTACCTTTCTGTATTTCATTGCACATTCTCAAACCATTTCCTCATTTCATCCGACATACAGTGTTTTCCAACTAAGGTTTTAATTGTTACTAATGTAAGAATAAGTATATTCATTCACAGTGTGCTTGCTTCCCTTTTAGAACTGTACATCTGAAGGATGACTTTCTACCTTTGGTTTCATAATTGTGTGTGCATTTCAGTCTTTCATCATACGCTGGTCCTGCCACATCATAGCCATTCTCTGTGTGCTCTGATTTCCCTCTGTACCTCTTTGTTATTCCAAAAAGAAATGCTTCTAGACAGCATAAATCCTATCCTCTAGAAGTAATTTTAGTAATATATTCAGAAGCTGATGAATCATCTTGAACCTCCTCTAATAAATCAAATATCACATTGCATCTCTTGGGTGATACCTGATGCCATAAACTCATAAGTAAATTTCTGTTTGCTGTCACCTCCTTACATCCAAGGAATGAATGCTCCACATTTCTCCCCTTCCTAGTTATTCCAATGCTTTGTATTTAATACGGGCGTTTCTCACTTGTGCCAGGGCACTGCTCTGATGGTACTGGCCTGGTTGCTTTTAGCAGCATTGAATTTAGAATCAACTGTGAACTTCATTGGAATACTTCTACTCCCTCCTATTTATTTAATTCCGTCTAATACTCAACTTGCACCTAAAAAGCAGTGTCAACACAAAGTACTCACGTGGTGTGGCAGAATCAAGAAACCTGATCAAACCTGATCACTGCAGAGTCAGGAAATCAAGACAGGTTTCATTGTCTTTTCTGTGAACCTTTATATAATGCCAGGCCAATTGAGTGGCTTAAAGAAGTGGCTCATTCTGAGACACAGAAAGTCCAAAATCAGCGCATCCGTAGCAGACTTTTAGAGCTTGTAGAGACTAAAACGATCCAGTGATATAACTAACTGCTGCTGTCAAAAGCAGTAAAAATCCAGGAGGCCAAATCTATGTTTTTCTTTCCCCTTTCTGGATTGATTGTGTATATTGTCTGAAGTCATGGGGTGCATTCTTAGTCTTTCTTCCACAAGCCCAAGAAAACTGTGTGAATGTTAACATGTACTGAATAAATCCTGTGATCACTGTAACACACTGTAGCACCTTATAATGATGTGTTCCCCAGCTGCCATGTCAACGGTCCATTGTTACTTTTTTTTTTCTTTTACAATCTTTTCTTTAATATTCATTTCCTACACTGGTGTTAATATTCCTGACTATTTGAATGCATTTCAAAGCTCATGAAATGCTATATCAAATGTATTTCTGAACTTCAAATGTATTACATCTCCCACATTGCATTCATCTACTAATATTGTAATTCAATGAAAAAAAAAGCAATCAGATTTATTTGGCGTGATTTGTTCTGTGTCAACCCACGCAGCTCATTGCTCAATGGTGCTTAAATGATAAACAGTGTTCAAATCAAATTCTTCATCTACCTTTTGATTTGAGTTCAGGAAACTGATGATGTTCGTGTTTTCTAGCTAGCTTCTGGGTCCTAAAGCCTAAAGAACAGTATTCTTTTTCAATACTTTTTTTTTCTTATTTCTCTGTTTGTTTTGCTCTTATATCATTCTGTTGTCCATTTTTTATCTCTACATTTTCTTAGTAGACTTTATTCTAATTTCCTTATAACATAGTTTTAGGGGGGAAAGGCACTGATTTGTGAAAAGATAATGAGCATGAAAATGAATTTGATTCTCTTGGGAATAAAGGGGATGGCTTTGTCATATTACACAACTTTCCCTACACTCATCATACCAGAAAATACTGTGATTGAAGCCTTAATTGTACATAGGGATTCCTTCACTTTCCCTTTAGTCTATCCTAGTTAAAAGCAAGTATGCTGTGTTTTATTGATACTTGTAGGAGACCTGCCCTTTCCTGGATGGAGACAGGAGAGGAGGGGGATGGAGGGTGGGAGGGGAAAATGGGGAAGAGGAACTGGGAGGGAGGATTGCGGGGAGCTATGGCCAAGGCTTGCTGGCACTATAAAAAAAAGTTCCGTGTTTTAGGAGGCAAGTGGTATTGGCACAAATCACGGAAAAGCTCTGGAGTTCTCTTTCTAGGTTCCAAATCTTGATCTAAGTGATACAAGAACAAAAAGAGAGTTAATGGTCATTGACTTCAGCACTAGGAACCTAAGTACTAAGTAGACATTATTATTTCTTGAAGTCAGAGTTTTTTTAAGCTAAATTCTTATGGTTTCTGAAAGTTGTGTCCCTTATTTGCTGTTGTTCTAGTCAGGTTGTTTTTTTCTACCTAAAAGAGGTGAAGAAGAATTGCCCTTTGTAGCTGAGTGGTGGTGGCTCATGCCTTTAATCCCAGCACTTGGAAGACAGAGACAAGTGGATCTCTCTAAGTTCTAGACTCTTGGGCTACAGAGCAAGTTCCAGGACATTTAGGGCTGTTACACAGCAAAACCTTGTCTCAAAAAACAAACAAAGGACGTTCCTCATTTTCATGGAAACATACTCAGAGTCCTTAAGCCTTAACTTGTATTCAGTTTATTACATTCAGTTTAGCACTTAATAAATCCTCCTCTTCTTCTCCTTCTTCTTCTGCTTCTTTTCTTCTCCTCCTCCTCCTTCTTCCTTCTCCTCCTCCTCTCTTTCTCCTTCTCCCTCTTCTTCATCACAATATTCAGAAGTGTGGCTTCCCTGGCTCCTGCTTTGCCTCCAACTTTTATCAGCTGCAAATCACTCAGAATTTCAATGGTGTCCCTGGAGACTTTAGTGTTGATGCTTATACCTGGAAAAAAAGAGGTCTTCTCGGGCCCCAGACCAGCATTCTGGGCTGGTACAGTGACCTCACATGGTGTAATGGTACCAGTACAGGTGTCAGCCAGTACATTATTGGCCAACAGCGTGTCTCTAATCTTGGACATGAGGCAACAGGTTCTCCAGAGCTGGATTGTTATTCATATGCCCCAGGATGACCTTACACATCATAGTATTCTCAGTTATCAGCACCATAGCCTTCCAAAAGTTGGATGATCTTAAGGAAGTAGTTGGACTTCCAGGTTGCCTTATTGTCCCTGGGCATCATGGATTGCCATGCAAGGTTTAAAGACCATGTCACTCTAATGAAGATGCCTGGCAAGAGATGATAAACATTCTTCAATAGGCAATCAGGATAAAGGTAGTCCAGAAGTGAATGAGTAAGCAGCCTGGCCTCAAAATGCTGATGTCTTTAATTGCTACATCTCACCATTCCTTTGACTGATAGCATAATATCTTGGAATAAAAAAATGTTAAATCCATGGTATTCATTGTGGGTTACCATATATAGAAAGGGGAAATAGATTAAGTTTATCAGATTTAGAAAAAAAAATCCCTTTCACGGCTGGAGCAGTAGTGTGAAAATTACTCAAGCCAACCTCAAGCAGAGCATTTTAGATATGCTTTTTGACTCCGGCTACATTGAGAGTAAGACTGGGCACTGTTAATGTTAGACAGGGGCAGTAGGTGTGAGCTGAGATGGCGTCAGGCAGGAGGACAGTGTCCCACACAAGGCAGATACCAACTTGAGTTTCCTGCTATGAGTCAGGTCAATGGGCAGAGAGATAAGGGAATGAGATCAGCCACTGTGGGGATGATCTTGTGACTCATCTCTATAGCCCTTGGTGGGCATCTGTGATAGATAGGCTCAGGGTAGGAGGCCAGTTGTTAAGTGATATACCAAAAATAGCTGCGCCATCTACAAAACGGACCTTTGGCTTGACACTCTGCACACCAGTTGGTTACTGTTGCTTAGAGCTAGCAACACAGAATAACACAACAACCCTCTCACTGCACAGTGAGGAGTCCCAGGATGTGCCCATGCTCGGAGTGGGCATTTGGCAAATCTAGAAGTTAATAAGTAAGCCTGCACTGCTTCGATTCTTAAATCTTCATATCCTGCACATTATGTTTCATGTGTATTTATAGTTATTGATTAACTACTTTATTTCACAGCAATGGGCATTATTAAACTTCCAAATTAATTTGAATAAAAATATTTTGTGCTTCTATTACTAGATAACATAAAAACTACTTTTGTATAAAGTCTCAAACACAGTCAGCATTCAATGATGTATTTCAATTTACTCATCTGTGTTTTCAATCTATATTATGTAGTTGCATGCGGACAAGGATAATTTTCTATAAATTTATCTTACATGGGAGACAATTTGGACAAAATATGCAAGTAAAATGATTTTATGTGACTGATCAATATTAATTCTTAGAAGATTCATATGTGGGGATATGGGGGGTTTGAATATGTGGATTTCCAGTACAGAAAAAAATTGAAACAAGTAATCTAGAATCCATCTTAGTGTAAGTGAAGTAATATCCTTTCTGTATATGATCCAATCAGGTAAAGGACTGAACCATTTATTTTTATATTTCTCATTGTTTTGGTCATAGAAATATTGCTTCAGGGGTTCTCCATAATCATGAATTCTTGTGAAAGTAAGTACACTGGAAATCCTGGAAGGAAATCTTTTTATCATTTGATTGTTTTTCATGGTATTCTTGATAGTGAATTTCAGAGAGAAGCATGTAAATTAATTTGAATGGCAATATTCAGATCACTTGTACTGTTTACTACTTTAGGTGAAAATGAAGATATGTATAACACCCACAACTGGACAATGTGCAGAGAGTGAAACACTTTGGAGTGCTCCTCCCTGAATGGGGAATCTTTATCACATCCCTCCCTTCAAAGATCAGGGGTGTGAGGGCACTCTGGAAGATTGTAAAAGCCAGATGTGGTGGATGATTTTAAGGAAACATTTCCAGACACAACAGGCAAATGAGCATATGAGCTCACAGAGACTGTGACAGCATCTACAGGACAAGAAAAACGTCAGACAGACAGACAGACATCTCAGCATGAAGAAGGGAAAGCGGGCACATAGTCCAACGTCTGCCAAGAAGATATTTGCAACTGATAGCTGCTGGGAGACGGACATCAGTTTTCTTCAGTGGCTTCTCACTGGGTACATCAGCCACATTCCAGGGCAGGGGTAAATGGCCATCACTGGAGTAAAAGGCCATCACAACAGTAAATGGCCAGCACAAATTAGATTCCACGTTTTTAATGGCTCTTTTCTTGTTTTTGTTTGTAAGAAAGAAAGAGTGTTAGTTGGGTGGAGAGGATGTGGGGTAGTTTGGAGGACAGGAAACAATATGATTAAAATATACTGTATGATTCAGGCATCCAGGTGGTTGGGGATGATCTCACGGTAACCAACCCTAAGAGGATTGCCAAGGCTGTGAGTGAGAAGTCCTGCAACTGCCTCCTGCTCAAAGTGAACCAGATTGGCTCTGTGACCGAGTCTCTGCAGGCGTGTAAGCTGGCCCAGTCCAATGGTTGGGGTGTCATGGTGTCCCATCGCTCTGGGGAGACTGAGGATACTTTCATCGCTGACCTGGTTGTGGGACTCTGCACTGGGCAGATCAAGACTGGTGCCCCATGCCGATCTGAGCGCCTGGCCAAGTACAATCAGATCCTTAGAATCGAGGAAGAGCTGGGCGGCAAGGCCAAGTTTGCCGGCAGGTGCTTCAGGAACCCCCTGGCCAAGTAAAGTGTGTGTGGAGATCCCTGGAGCCACCGGCTGCTTCGACCCTGTCCCTGACGTCAACGAGGCGGCTCAAAGCTGGCCCAGCGCCTGTCCCTCCCATGCCGCCGCTTCCTTAGACGTCCTTAGACAGCCACACCTGACCACCTGGAGCCTGCTGGAAACCCCAGCCTTGTAATCATGTGATTGGTCTGAATCATTGTTTCTGTCACCTCACTTCCAAGCTAAGTGTCTGAAGCCCATTGTAATCTTTAGGGTGGCCGCAGGTAAGATCCCTGCCCCAGCGGTTCTACATGCAAAATAAAAGCCTCAGTGACCCATAAAAAAAAAAAATATACTGTATGAAACTCTCAAAAAAATAGATTAACACAGAAAAGACTTTTTAAAGGTATTTAAGGAGAAGATAAGCAAGACATAGGAATTTTATATTTTAAGATAATGTCTTTTAACTAATGAATAAAAAATCTACACCATATCATTCTTAAATCACTTTAGCTTCTACTAAGTTCTAGTCTATAACAGATTAAGAAAGAGTTAAAAAAGACAATTGGGAAGATTGGGGTAAGAAAATATTCATCATGATTTAAATTAGAAAGTTCTTAGTGTTTCAACAAAAACACAGTGAAGGGCAGAAAAGGTTTACCCACTTTACCCAGCAGCCAAATTTCAGATGAATTACATGCCAACATAAATATGATATGCTTTGAAATTGTTTCTTTTTTAAAAAGTTATCTAAATTACAGGTATCTTAGAAAGCTTTATCACACTCTAGAGTTTGTTTATTAATAAAAATCTTTCCATTTAAACTAAAGAAAGATGAAAGCAAAAGGTCACTTCACTGTTTGGTAGGGATTTTCAAAATATAAATTACACTTATTTATTGGGGTGGGGCGGCGCCCCCTTTCCACAGTGCACGTGTGCAGGTCAGAGTACAGCTGGGAGGAGTTAAGCCTAAGTCCTGAGGATCGAACTGAGGTCATCTGTCTTGGCAGCAGGCGCCTTTACCGCTGAGCTATCATCCGAGCCCTGATAAGGTTTGTTTGAAGATCTGTTTGCATTTGTTAGCATGCATTTAAAAGGCTGAGCTGTTTAAAAATACTCAATTAGCTGACAATTTAGGTATGATTTGTTTTCCCTGATACAACTATTGGACTCTTTAGACGTTTTTATTTTTTGTAATAATGATATCAAACTATCTTATAAAATAAAATTTAAGCCAATCTATGAGTAAATGAATCACAATCAAATTTTAAAATGCAGCATAAATTTGCAATGCTTACATGTTTCAGACCCTAATATACAACTAAGTATCCACTGGAGTATTTTAAATAATATTTTGACTAAGATAGGTGAAAACATTTGAATATACACTCCTCTGAATATTATTAATGACACTGAGTGCTAAGATACTATCCAGCAAGCAGATTGTTTTTCCTTTTGTTTTCTTTTTTTTATGGGACATAGAGTTTTGAGACAGGATTTCTCTCTGTAGCCCTGGCTGTCCTGGAACTCACTCTGTAGACCACAATGGCCTCGAACTCATAGAGATCCACTTGCTTTAAAGGCGTGTACCACCACTGCCTGCTCAGCAACCATATTTAAATTTGAATGGGTTTTAAAATTTTTTCCTAAAGTATGGAAAATTTTGCCTAAATTAAGTTTTAGAACTATTCTGAAAACAAAGAAAATCTTTCTGTGGTCCATTACAACCAGAAGAACAGTGTTGTGGGGTGGGGCTCAGCATCAAAATCTTGCCTTGCGTATGCCAGGCCTGAGCTTGATTCCTGAACAAAAGATGGCATTTTGCAGATTGAAAAGTCCCATCGCACACGTTGTCTCTTGTTCTCACTGTCTTTTCAAATTAAATCCTTACTTTCAGCTTTCTCTGAGATGGTTTCACTAGTGACTCGGAACCTGTCTACGATATTGTTGCTATCCCCTTTGCAAAAACAGGAGGTAACAGCTGAGTCCTGCTTCTATAATACTGCCTATTTTGTTCAGCTCTGCTCTTAAACCACTTTCGTTCCTTCTAAATCATGTGATTGATCCTTTTGTGCTTCAGAAGTTTCCTGAAGACTCTTCCCCCTCCTCCCCTTAACTAACTGTGCTGTGAACAGCTTACTGAAGAGTGGAGTGTGTATATGTGCTTCTTTGGCAAACATTAGTCTGGAATGTTCTCCAATGGCAAAGAATCAAAGGGTACTGTGGTCATTTTCGTTTGTCTTTGTTGTTGTGTTAAATGGTGTTTGATTTACTTTTTAGCTTTTCTACAAGGAGTGTTCAAAAGGTAAGGCTGAGCAACCAATCAATAATAACACTGTTTCAGCCAAACGTAATTGTAATAGACATTCATGCCATGAGAAGCTAAAACAAGAACATAGCTAAGTCCAAGCTACAACTTTGCTTGTGATCTCCTGACATCTCAACACAGTGATGTTTCTTTGTCAGCTCATTAGACAAACCAAGTCACAACAGAGCTAGTACAGACAAGTCTCGAATCTTTGTTGATTCCCAAGTTTTGAGTTTTTTTCCTCAGTGTTTATTGGAATTTAGCCAAATGTAACTAAAGAAATTGGAGCCCAACTGGAAAAGTGTGTTGAGTGTCATGGTGTCTAAGTCCTTCAGAAATGGAAGGAGAGATGATACCCATGCAGGAATATTACAGTTTGGTCATAAATTATTCAAACTGTAGCTTATTAAGAGGCAGACATCAACAACTAAAAGGACATTCATAGGATCTGGATGTGCCACCATTCCAAGTGATCACAACAATCCAACAATTTCAATTTCTGGGCTTTTATTTTATACTTAAATTTTGAGCATATTTAATTTGCTATCACCACATGAATTTCATAATGTTTCCTCAAACTGTAATTATAATCTTAATACAACCAAGCAAATTAAAAAAAAAATCTTCCCCCATAGAAACATAATTTTTGAATGGAACTAAGAATATTGGAGTTTATATGCAAAAACAAAACCTATCTTATATATGGATTCTTAAACCACAGCTATTATATATACATTTTAATCGAACATTCCCAAACCATCAATATTTCCATAAAGGCACCCACTAGTCTAAGTGCAGTTTGTTCTTAAACTATACTTTCCCATGAACTGCTTTTTTTTTTTAATAAAGTGTCTAAGTCAGTCTCACTTTAAGAAAAAAATCAGGGCCTAAAAGTACTAGCTGAGTCCTCACTAAATATGGTTAGCTTTCCGAAGAACCCAGGTAGCAGCTGCCATGCCTCCACTCTGCTAGGGCAGCACCTGCCCGACTCTTTAATATCAAATGGGACACAAACACCTTTATGAAACTTAGCTTCTACACAATTCTTGTTGCAATTGTCCAGCATACATCTGTGCTGTTAATAAATTGATTCTTTCCCTTATTTTGCCAACTTTTAATCTTTCTTCTCCATACCAAACTGCCTGAAAATAGCCTATTTGTTTCTGACTTAAAAAATTGTAAGGCAATTCACCTGATTTTTTCCATGATGTTTTATCCTACAATCTGGGAAGTGCTACATGATCAAAAACATGATTCATTTTAGAATGCTGTAATCTAGTCCAAATACCGTGACATTGGGCAAGAAATGTCCTTCATTGTCATATAAAGAGAAGTCGACTCAGTTTTTAGAATTGTTCCTTTAATTAATAAGAGACATTTTGTTTATCGTTCTTATTGAACAAGCAGTTATCATTTGCAGATGTGAAAATCATAAGGAATCAACTCATTACTGATACTAAAAATTCTTTTTGAAAACATGGCATGAGCAGCAGACGTAACTGTGCTACTGCTATTATTATCGTTATTATCACAGCTTAGTTATTTTTCCTATCATGGTGTGTTTGACCAGGATAGGAGGGATCTTTTAATCTTATAAAGGCTCAGTGTGTAACCCAGAAAATTTACTAGAACAGGTGAATTTTTAATCCAGAGATTTTTTTCAAAAGTATTTATGCAAAATAAGGGGAGATAATCTGAATGGTAAATGACAAAAACGAGTTATACTAATCCTAGCTACCTCAATAGAACTTCTTGTTCATGAACAAATCAATTAGGAGTTTGCTCCCTGGGGTCTTTATCTGTGTGGGAAGCTGAACAAAGTTGAATAAACAGCCTTCACCAGCACTGCCCCATAACCACATTATAATCTCAGAAACCTATGAAGTGTTTATCTGTCAAAAAGGACATGACACGTGATTGAGGACGCTGAGAGGGCCAGATCAACTTGGATTTTCTAGGTGAACCCTAAAGACAATCACAAGTGTCCTTGAAGGATGTCAGGAGATGTGACAGCAGACGAAGGGATATGACCCGGGAGGCAACATTAAAACATTATAACTAGTAGTCAAGAAATGTTGGCGGCCCAGAAATTGGAAAAAAGATGCCCATCTAGAGCCTCTAAAAGGAAGTGGCTTTGCCAACATCTTGGTTTTAGCCCTTTAAGGCTGACTTTGAAATTTTGACCTCTGTGGAACCTGCATGGGACTGGACTAGACCCTCTGCATATGGTAGATAGTTGTGTAGCTAGGTCTGTTTGAGGGGCCCCTGGCAGTGTGGTCAGGATCTATCCCTGGTCCATGAGCTAGCTTTTTGGACCCCTTGCTCACCCTTGATGCAGGGGAGAGAAGCTTGGTTCTGCCTCAACTGAATGTACCAGGCTTTGCTGTCCCCTCATGGGAGGGGATGGAGGAGGGTGAGAAGTGGGCGGAGGGGATTGGTATGTAAAATGAATTTAAAAGTTTTTTTAAATAGAAAAATAAAAGAGAAAAGAAAAAAAAAGAAATTTTAACCTCCAGAACTGTAAGAAGATAAATTTGTGTTGATACTAAAGTAAGTCACTTGTTAAAACATCTACAGGAAGCAAGGTTTCTGTGATTTGAAGAAATACTACACAATCTCAGGTTTGTTGAGTTTCATTTTGAAACAACACTAATAAAATATTTTCTCACTGATTATTTGGAAGGTAATATTTTTCATTTTAAGAAATTGTTGGATATGTGCACATCTTCAATGAGAGACATCAAACATTAGTGGATATATCTTTTCATTTCTTTTACCAAATTGAAGACAAATATTACTTTACTAATTTGTATGTTTGATAGTCAATGCTGTTGAAATTACAAAATGCAAGAATCTTGCAGAAATCAGCTGCTGTATTTATTAATCTACCTGAAAGAAAAAGAAATAGAAAAAAACACAGATAAAATCAAAGTATAAATTTTTTCATTTTGCTAAAGTTATGATGCTCTATTTTGAATTTTTCCACATTAGGAATACACTTAATGTTTGCTAATGACTTATTTAGTTCATTAAGTCACTACCTATGACAACAAAACTTGTAGTTGTCCTTTGATATGAGAATTAATACCTTTATTCTTGTGATCCTTTAAAACAGCTCAGGGTCCAGTTCTTCCTCCCTGACTGACTGGAACAAGAATATTAAAAAGGAAAAAAAAGAACAATAGAAAAAGAAAAGACTCCTCAATACAATTTACATCTAAAGATGTACTTAGAATTTCCTTCTGTTTTACCAAATAGCCCAATCATACATCTCAGTTGTCTGTCCAGGAAATATTTCACTGGTTATTTAGAAAGTTGGTTTTTATTCTAAGTGCTGTAAAGAGCTACATGATCACGGTGGGTGTCCTGATTGTTAAGGCATATTTATGAGCCTGGGAAAGGCCAAGTGACACATACACAGCACAGTCAACGAAATCATTTGTAGACATACATCGGCGTCAAAACGTTTCTGGAGGATCCAGCTAGTACTGGTTTGGGCGTGCGGAGAGTGAAGGAACTGTGGATTTAGAGAAACAATTGTGATCTGTTGGGCATGGGAAAATGTGTACTGAGGGCTTATCTCCACAAGGTTTTTCTTGTGCTCAGAAATGCTTTCCTATGTTTATTTGGGCTTTGTGTTTAAGGATTTTCTAAAAAATAAATATTTTTGTACAGATTCTTTACAAAGTTGTTCTCCAGAATAGTAACAGATTGAACACAATTCATTTCCTTTGCTTGGATCTTGAAAGCTGCTACTCAGGGTTATTAAGACACCATTTCCTTATGGTTTTCAGAATGAATGGAACAACGTGGCATACTTTCAATGCTGTTGTTTTTAAATGTAAAACAAACAAAACAAAAACAAAGGCAAAACTTTGAAACTTTAGATCTTTGAATCTTCTTTCATACAATCTGATCACATTTACAGACGTGTCCAGAAGGAGATGATGGACAACGTCAGTACCAGCTCTATGTCACACAGCAACTTCCTCGTATTCTTTAACAGCTCATAAACAATGTTCCATTTCATTAAAAGTTACAAAAGTTTCCACAGTTTCCCTTAACAAGCTGAAGCTCACTCTTCATTTGTCAATGTGCATAAAAGCTGCTTATAGCATAGCATGGTGTAAGCTACTTCTTAAGCAATAAATGGTTTGAGTCATCTATTTTGTCCTGAAATGCTATCTGTAGTTAACTGCATTGCTTATAAATGGTCATAGTAAATTCAGCATGAAAGAGAATATTACAGAAAAGACAGCAGCAGAAGCATTAGCATTATCTAATATTTATATATGTTATCAACAGAACACAGCAGTGAAACATTTAAATGCATATCAATGGGTACCATGTCTAAAAATTACTATAGTACCTATTTAGTGTAGTGGATATTTTTCTTAAAGAGTGCTTGCTGTAACTAGAACAGCATAATACGTGATTTAGTACAGTTAATTCTTATTGATTAAATAAGTATTTATGTACTGAAGATAGTGAAAGGAGACAGGTAATTTTTTTTCTTTTTTTGCTTCATTGTGATCCCAGATTTAACACTTCAGTGAAGATTACAAAGGATCATGACATGTCATTATGTAACTGAAATGGGCACCAACGTATTTGAAAGACAGCATTTGTACTGAAACAGCAAGATGGCACCAGATACATGTAATGCTACTGGCCTATGACTCAACTGGAGCCAGAGTCCAAAACTGTGCCCCTCATTTACAGTCAAGGCAATTACTCAAATTCAGAGAGAACTGCCCACATTTATGCTTATCCTTTACAAGTCGTCTGTAAAGCAAAATGGAACAGAAAGAACAACAAATGCAATTGCTAAATACCTTTTTTTTTTTTACAAGAGGTGCAAAAACAGTCATTTCTAACATTAAACTGCCATTTACAGTAGATTTTTGTACACCTGCAAAGACTTCAGTAATGATGGGGAAATGCCCAAGGCAAAGAGTCTCCAAGTAGATATTTACACAATGTGAAATCAAATGTACCGTAGATACCGAGAAAATTATCTTATGTTATTAAGAAATCGACCAAACATGATATAGCTTCATCATACAGAAAACCCGTAGGACCCCATCCCAAGCCTAAGTAAAAAGGAATTCCCCAGTTCCCTCTGCCCATTCACCCACCATCTTCCTCTTACAAAGAATCAATGTCTAGATTACTCCCACCCACCCTCAAATAAAGTGCGCAGTCCATGGCAGATCATAGAATAATGCAACAGGAAAAGCCCCCGTTTGTATTATTACTTAAAAAATAAAATACAAACAACAAAAATAAAACAAAGATTGAAGAGAATTTGTTGATTCTCTCTATCTTGAAAAAAAGATGCGAAGCGCGGGGTGCCCTGCTTGACTGTCACTCATTTTAGTACACGTAGCCTTCGTTGTAGGGGTGGGGGTTGCAGCAACCCCCTTCTGGCATGTAGGCCATGCTCTCATCAAAGTGAGACAGAGGCACCGTGTCCTCCTCGTTGATGTGACGTTCCATGTCCGTCTTCAGCAGTGGACGCTGGTTGTCCGGAAAGGCCATGGAGAAAAGGGCTTCCGGGTCACACACAAATTTGTAGACATATCTCTCTCCAGCCACCTGGGAATATCATGGAAAAGCCCAGTGTCACCGTCCCCACATGGGTAGGGGAGAGAGAAACAAACACGGATTAATACACCAGCAGGGATGGAGGGCAAAAGAGAACATTTGATTAAATAACAGATACATCTTCATGAGGGAAAGTCTTTACTCTGTGAAATAAGCCACGGTTCAATCAAGGGAAACACAAAATGTTGAACTAGAGTAATAATTAATTTATTTCACAAATAGCTAGGAAACTCAGCAGTTTTCTTTTTTCAACAAAAAGGTGTACTTACACTCATTTGGGGAAGAAAAATCAACGATGTAATTAATGCAAGCAATTCACACTGAAATTTTTGTTTTAAAGGTAACATCTATGCTTTGAAAATGTCTTTAAGGTTTACCTCCCCCTATTACATTTCTACAACTTGTAAGTTTTAAAAGGAAAATATGCTTTATTCCTAGTAAGACTACACTAGTGATCACTAATTCCCAAGATGCACTGCTCCCTTCCCCTTTATCTTTCCCCTGGCACTGTGTATTCTCATCTAAGAAAACCCCAAAGATACATAGCCTTATTTAAATGAAGGATGGAGCAAGAGGACATTATCCTGAGCACATCACTTTTTAAAATGAAGGCAAGATACATTAGATGAAGCTTAAGGATGTGTGTAAAGTGTCAAATTGAAGTAAGAGGCGTAAAAAAAAGTGAAGGGAATCTAAAATACACACTGGGAAGGGAGGAAATGAGAAAAGGAAATGTGACAACTGCCTGAAATAAAGGAGATGTAGCACAATTTGTAGGGAAAGACATGCCCCAAACTTAAGTTTTGAAGAGTAATGCTTCTGTAGAAAATGATAAACAACTGAAGGAGACGAATGTACCCGCCATTAATAGACAATACTGAGGAACTCAAGACTCTGGGGTGCAATGGGGAACAAAGGCAGTTCCTTGTGTTAACTTTGGTGTCTGTGTGTGTGTGTGTGTGTGTGTGTGTGTGTGTGTGTGTGTGTGTATGTGTGTCACAGTTTCAGAAAGCTGAAAAGGATTGAATGTCTCATGTTTCTGTGTCAAAAGGTCTTGCTAGTGATTTGTGACATGGGGAAACAGTGTGCTCACAGTTTATAAACTCTCTGTACATGTTTGGGAGAGAGGGAACGCCTGCCAAGGATTTCTGCTGCTCTGCACTCAGATTTAGAATATTTGTTGCCCTGAATTGAAGTAAAAGGAACTACATTAGAGTCCAAATAATCTGGATATGCAGAGGTTTAAAAGAACCAACACTGAGCAATGTTTAGGAATCTGGACATGTTTCTTAAACTGCCCTTCAGTTCATTGTCTTGTGAAATGGAGACAGGAAGGGCTCCTTGAAAAGCCAGCTGTGATACATAGAGGGAAGTCTCTAGCACAATGCAAAGCAAATAGAGGCATCTAGCATAATTCTCTTCCTTTGGTCCTCATTTTTAAAAAAAGTGAACTAATGAAATGACTGCAAAACTGAAAACCAGGCAGTATCAAACAAAAGCCGAGAGATAATAAATCTTAGTTTTGTTTCCTTTTTTTCTTTATTTTTCAAGGTATTTTCAGGAAATGAAAGTAAAATAAATGCTTTATTCTGCATGCCTCTGAGTGTTTTATAGCCCACTGTGTTTAGTTTGGGGCCGCAAAAAAGAATTGTTTGCCTTAGGTATTGGACATGTCATTTTGTCTGATGTGTTGAGGTTGTCTTTACTTGGAAGCGATGTAATAAATGAAAAACATTTCATCATGAGGAATTTAAATGCACAAGATGCAATTGTAAATTATAAAATCTCCTAGGGACTTCTCCTTCTGCTTCCTTCTAGTTTTCTCTGAATAAACAGTTTTAGTGCTACTCCTGTATTTATCCCACTGTTAGATATTGCTGAATTTAGAATAGGAGCTGACAGACAGACAAAGTAAATGATGCCTTCCTTTGTTAGGGATACATTTCTCACAGTGCGAGAAATCCTGCATATTAGGTTAAAACCTAAATGCAACAGTGCGATGAAAAAACACAAGCATTTTGTGGAGGTTTCTATCAGATGTAAACAGGGAGGTGGGTGTGTTGTCAAAGCCTAGACACATATTTAAATTGCAGTTCAACTTTTAAAATGTCAAGATTGCTCAGCAGATAAAGGCACTTGACTCCAAGCCTGGCAATGTGAGTTCAATCCCTGGGACCCACAGAGTGGAAAGCCAGACCTGATCAGGGCAAGCTGTCATCTGACTTGCATACACATACTGAATAAATAGAATATTTTTTTCAAAATTTGAAGGAGAGGGAATGGGGGCATATTTGACCAAGATAAAGTATATCTGTGTATGAATATTAAATAAAATCCCAAATGTAAAAGATAAAGTAAAAAAACAAACTATACATTTTTATGAGTATTGCTAAATTTTTAACTAGATGTGCAGATATTTTATCTACAAAGGACAAGATTTTTCCAATGCTTCTTATTTCTGTTTCAGAATTATTGAAATTAATTACCATTTAAAATGTTTTACTTGTATTAACACATTTGGTTAGTTGTATTTTATTCTCCAAGCTTCTAATTTAATTGTTCTTTACATACATCACAAATGCCTAATTAAAGTTTTAAGCCAAGGATCAAATATCATCATACAAACTTGGAATGTAATTCCCCATTATATATCTTTTATGTAGTAAGAAGGGGAGGTAGTAAGATATAGAGGTCTTCTGAATAAACTACGCTACAATTTACTTAACCATTAGAAGGGTCCATACAGTATTAGAGACAATGAAAAAGGCAGACCATTCTAGAAAGAACTCCTACAAGAGTCATGCGTGGTCTTAGAACAGAAGGGAAATGACTATACATATACAAAGTTAAAGGTACTTGCTAACATGGTAAGGGACCCTGGCTGGTCACCCAGCCACATGCACGGTCCAAGCTCTACATGCTTACATGGTAAACAACCTGTCTTCCTTGTGCCAAACAGTGGCATCCAAAAGGTCTGTTCTGTGCTGTATTCACATCAAACTGCAGTGCCTAGATAAGCAGTAAACCACCCAAGGCTGAAGGAAATAATAACAAATATCCAAATGTTTTATCTTTATATATTCATTTATTCATGGCCTCCTTTATAAATGTTATATTTTAAGTACATTTTATCTTTATCCATGTTTTTGTATTTTACACAAAACAACTTTTAAATATTAAAAGAAGCTCATTTGAATTAAAATATATTGAACTCTGTTCTATAACCACATAAGAGAAACATTTATTTCAAGTAAGTGGTTTGGGATATTAAACTGTCAAGTGATGAAATCAGGCAAGATATGGAACAAGAAAAAAAGTGTTTTGTTTTTTTTTTCTAATAAGTACAAGTGATGTCTGACTGTTTTAAGAATCAGAACAAGAAAAAGAAAAATACAAGCATTTCAAAACTGTGTGACTGGAGTGCAGCAAAATTACAGCTTCTAGAGACATAGAGATCAAGTATTGATACTGAAATAATTTCTGTTTACTATGTGCAGTAAAGTGGAAACTTCCAGAAAGCCTGTCACTTGGTAGATAACATTATACACTTATCTCCAGTGTCCATGACTTTTAAACAAACTTGCAATACTCCAAACAGGAGCATCGAATAACATGGGTGAAAGCCTAGCTGGACCAAGGTAGTGATAATGTGATTTTAAGGTCTGAGTTGGAGACCGGTGGTGGGCACATCACAGTGAGTTCGAATGTAATATCACCTCACCTTTTGCATGATCCCCTTCTCATAGTAATAGCGAAGAGAACGACTAAGTTTGTCATAGTTCATAGCTGGCCTGTTCTTCTGAATGCCCCAACGCCGGGCCACCTGCCGCCAAAACAGAAACACAGTGTTAGTGTTCAGTCTTCGTGAATCACATTGTTCAGTGTTAGTGGCATGCACACACACACACACACACACACACACACACACACACACACACACACACAAGTTCATCAATGTTTGACTTCTAAACCCACAAAAACATGTCCAAATTCAAGGCATAAGTAAAGCAGCAACAGCCTTCATGATCTGAGTTTCCTGTGTGATGGTTTGAACCAAGCTTTCAGTCCTCTTTCTTAAACATCACAATAGAATCCTTTGTCACCATTGTTTTGGGCAGAAATTAAATGGAAATAAGGGAATGTGTTTACATCAGGAAAGAACAGGCTGCAATTGACCAAAACAAGGCAGAGTTTCCCTTCTGCAATACACCATCAGGCTTTTCCTTCCTGAACTTTCAGACAAAAATTCCAGCTTAAGAACTGCTTGCTTAATGATCCCTTTGTAAAGGTGTTTTATTGCATTTGTGACAAATCAGAAAAGAAAAAAAACCTGCTCAGATTGTGCAAAAGAAAGAAGAACTGGCAGTGTGTCAGCTGAGGGAACAGTATGCCGATTAAGAAGCTGAACTACAAATAATTGTTGTTACCGAAAGTGGCCTCTGAAGAAAACTAGAGCCAACACCAAACTGGAAAATTAAGCTCATTTAGGAAACATTAATTTGATGCTAACAATAAGATGGAAGTGGAAAAGTCACCATGTATATGAGGGGTTTTTTTAAGCAGAATGTCCAGTGTGGTTTAGTAAAGGTCTCAGAAGTATTTAATATGTGGCCGTGGTGGGGCTCTGGGTCTGGCTCAGGCACAGCTCTCCAGCAGAGCTGGGGAAGCACTTCCTCCCATGGTGCCATTCCACCATCACACGGGGCTGATGGAAGCACAGAGAGAGGACCCTGCTTCTCTGATGTCAGTGGATGTCATGATCTCATTAATCCCCACTCTTTGGTAGGCTGAGGAGAAACCATGCACTGCCTAAGCAAAGCCAGGAGAGCACTCTATAACAGAACACAATCCTTTGTTTCCATGAAATTCCTAGTTGTTGTATCCCATAAAATGAAAGAACACCTCAAACCATCTCTGTTCCTCTCCTCATTAGCATCAACCTTTCTGTTGTTTCCCACCCCCCTTCAAAAACATTGATCTTTTCTGTTTTCCTGCCACTAATTTGTATTCTTGGAATGAACATACAATGGTCTTTAATCACACGGGTTGGCATGCTATTTTGAGAGCAAAGTGACATGATGGAGCAGAGACAAGACTATCCATTCGAGATAAAAGTCATAGTGGTGGGGCGGATACATCTTAATTTTCCACGAACTTTACAGTAAATATTCTAAGAACAGTGAATAGAGCAAGGGAAAGTGGCAATACAAAATAAATGCAAGCACCAGGGAGCTGAGTATGAACCTGGGGTGATGGCAGGAGAATCAAGGGTTCCAGAATACCCTGGGCTACGAACCTCTGAGATGTCGATGAGAAAGGAAAGGAGGGGGAAACTCAAAGGAAGAGGGTGAAGAAAGAAAGAAGGAAGGGAGAGAGGGAGGGGAGGAGGGAGGGAGGAAGGAAGGAAGGAAGGAAGGAAGGAAGGAAGGAAGGAAGGAAGGAAGGAAGGAAGGAAGGACAGGAGGAGTGAGTTTGGGTTTTGTCTTTTAAATAAAATCTTTCGAAAGTGTAACAGTGATGTCAGTGGCTCAGTAGAGACACAACCCACTATACAACATGCAAAGCTTGGGGAATGTGAAAAATGTTGCTAAGTAACAACTCCCAAAAACATTCATTTACAAATGAGACTTTACTAGAGTTTTAGCAGAGTTCACTTCAAAGTTCAAATGCAACAAACTTGAAGGCACCATGGAAGTCTCTGGAGAGAGTCATGTGATAGTTGCAAGTACTGTAAGAGAGAGTTGGAAGATTTTGGTTCCTATAATGCCAACTAATTCTCAGCAGTACGGATTATTAGCCCAGGCTTTCAAAAGTATGTACTTTGACTTATCCTGCATCATAACTGACACAAAGAAAAGGAAGAAAGACAACAATATGCCTATATGTTGTAGACAAATGGGTCTAAAATTAATAGGAAGCATAAAGCTTTGAGACCACCCAAAAACTTGATCAAGTACACTTGATCCCCATAAACACCACCAATGTCATACATGGTGTCGCTTAAAACTAAGGTACAATTTTCAACATGAAGTCTCAACGGTGAGGCCAATACTTCCAATGACTTTCTCATGAAGTACTTTCAAAGTACCCTGTTAGGAAAGAGCATAAAGAGTATAGCAGCATGGCACTCACCCTTGTCAAGGACATTAAGTGAGTCAATGTAGTCGTTTAAGTACAAATCCATCCTTTTTATTATATTAGCAAATGTATCTTTTTGGTGTTGGTGTTCGAGCTCAGGGCCCTGTGTGTGCCAGCCAAGCACTGTATCAGTAACCTACATCATGGGACAGTGAACCTAGAATTGGGGTCTGGCAATCTAACTTCCTGGTATTCATCAAGAATGTGGCATGGAATTTGGTAGGTGTCTTTCTATGTTAAGGAATATTTCTAGAAACAATTCCCTAGGACCACTGATTAATTTGGAAATAATATACTATTATCTCAAATATCTGAGTTTGCTAATGTCATCCAAGCTCACTGAGCAGATAAGCAGGACATATTCGGAAGTTCACTCATTATTGTTTTAAACTAAGAGATGAAACATGAGAAAATAAAACCTGTGAGAAGTACAATATGGTGGCTTCCAAGCCATCATTCATGGATTGTGGGAGTCAACACTGAAAGATCTGTTATGTAGCAGAGGATAAGAGAGGGACTGTGGTCCACTCGGAAGAAAATAATTCACAGATCCTTTCCAAAGAAAAAATTGGAAAAGACAACACAGTCATTGTCTGGTGGTAAGGGTGAGTTAGGCAGCAATCAGAAAGAGGATACTTCATTCTTCAATTTCTTTTTTTTTTGGTGTGTGTGTGGGGGTCAGACACTGATGATAGTGTCTTCCTCAATCACTGTTGACCTCACCTTTTGAGACAGGGTTCTCTTACTAAACCTGGATCATGCTGATTCAGTCTGCGTCTAGAGCATTGGGATTAAAGGTATATCCTGTCACACCTGGTTTTTAGCCTGGCTGCTGAGAACAGGAATCAAATCTTCATGCTTGTGCAGAAGCACATTATTTACTGAGCTGTCTTCCCACGCCCCTAGGAAAGGATGTTGAACAAGAGTTTCGGAGACATGTAGTACCTATTGCACAATTCCCACTGAGCTAGTTACCATTTGGAAACAGTCAACTGACTGAATTACTGGGTCTTGCTTTTGACTTTATGCACCTGTGACAGCAGAGTTGTTGAAATGTCAGCTGCATGAAACAGACCTGATTGCATATCTTTCTCGCATTTAAATGATCACAAAAACTCAGAATGATGACACTAACTGGCCAGCTAGTCAGATCTTCCATTCTTCTATCCAGACTCAAACATCTAAATGCCATGGGTGGTTATATGAAGAACTTAATCCCTCGTAGAATGTGGGCTTTTCTGAGGGGCTCACATGTTACTTACATCATTCAGTAATGCCTCCTGTCCTAACAAATATGACAAAAGTAAAATGTTCTGTTTCTGCTCAGTTTATTTTAATCACAGGTGGTGGGAAATGGCTGTTTAACTGACGTAAATCCCTGTTGAACTTCCCTAGTCCAAGTCTTGCTTTGATTATTAAAATCTTCCATGAGAGGGAGGATACATTCCCATTATGGTAAAGGCCTCTGAGATTATTTTGCTAGGCATCTTTAGTCTCGGTGGCCTGCGCCATATTCTTGTGGTTCTTTACTTACATCAATTAATTGCATCTACAGAAAACCAAAGTTTCTTTACAGCCAAATGGAGCTTTAAATACACTACAAAATTGAAACACCCAAACATTTAGCAGTGGTATTTCCCACTCTTGAGTCCTCTGTGTGTGTGTGTGTGTGGTGTGAAGTTAGGACTACCACAAAACCAGCCCTCTGACCAGATGCAAACCACTGCAAACTGGGAGAGACTGCTGCCTTCAATGGCAAAAACCACAAAATCAATAATTTTACATTGTTTTGTACTACTTTCAAATTTAAAATATGTCTATACAGTTTTCAAACTTTTTATATACCTTTCTGGCATATTAACCAAGTTTGGCTTCCTATTCCGAATCTACTGGACTCACCTCTTCAGGCTCAATCAGTTTAAATTCCATGCCTCGTCCAGTCCAGGCAATGAAATGAGAGTTGGAAGGGTCGTCCAGAAGCGCTACCAAAAACTGCCAAAGCTGAAGGGATCCTCGCCTCTGGTACGTGGGTCCTTCCCGGTACATTCCTGGCTCTTGCTTAATGTCCCCTAAATTTAAAAAATCAACTATTATCAGCAACATTATGTCATTCATATAAAATTTACACCAAATCAACCATGGAAATGGTTAAACACAATCACTTCATGGATTTTGTAACAATACCATTAAGTACAGATTTAAAATAATCAAATGACTAAATGTAAGCCAACAATCTACAGAAACTTAGCAACTTGCAGACAGGATAACAACATGTATTCTCATTAATATAAATGCACCAGTAAGGAGTTAAGTTCATAAGTACCATTTACTTATAAAAACCTAGCATAATTGTTGGTCTTTCATTCATGTCTTTACAAACCATCGAACCTAATCACACTTCTTTGCTTTGTTGCTCCCGTTTGTCTATCTCAGAAGGCGTAATCAGCTTTAAGTTCTGGGCATTTTACTTGTATAAATTAATTTCTACAAACTGTAATTTGCAAATATCTATTGACCCACACATGACAAACTACTGAAAATCTCAGAGCACATAATTCAAGGTAAATTTGGCAATATCATCCTCAGCTCCAAAAAACATGCACACATCGCCAGGCGGCGCCGCTGCCGCCGCCGCATGCTTTTAATCCCAGCACTCAGGAGGTAGAGCCAGGTGGATCTCTGTGAGTTCAAGGCCAGCTTGCTCTACAGAACGAGATCCAGGACAGGCACCAAAAACTACACAGAGAAAAGCCTGTCTCAAAAAAAAAAGTGCCCAGAGACCTTGGGTAGAAGGAAACACTACTGAAAAAAGGGGAGGGAGATTCTAAGATACTCTGCTATAATCATCAATTGGTGTCTAGCCCAATCAACATCATAAAGGCTTCCTCCAGTGGTAGGAACAGACACAGAGATCCCGGACTTATTGGGGCTCACAGAGACTGAAGAGGTAACCATGGGGCCTGTTTGCGCCTCCACTAGGTCCTCTACGTAAATGGATGTTTAGCTCCTCTACGTAAATGGATGTTGGACTCCTAACAGTGGGAGTGTCTCTGACTCTTTTGCCTGTCCTTAGGACCCTTTTCCTCCTACTGGGTTGCCTCCATCCTTGATACGAGGGTGTGTACCTTGTCTTACTGCATCTTGTAATACCATGTTTGGTTGATAACCCTGAGAGGTCCACCCTTTTCAGAAAGGAAGGGAAATGGAGGAACAGTGGAACTGGGTGGGGAGGACTAGGAGGAGGAGAAAGAGGAGAGGCTGCAGTCAGAATGTATTGTGTGAGCGAAGAATTAATAATACAAAAAAGGATGTATATACCAGAACATTCTGCAAAATAAATTTTTTAAGAAAAAATGTGAGCTCTATTTACCTGGTATAGAAAAGCATAAGAATCTAATATGAATAAAGATGTTAATGCTTTTGCTGTGCAACTGTCTTGGTTTTTCAAAGCAAAAAACCAAACCAGAACATTTTGTGCTGTGACCACGAATCATTTCCTTCTAACTCCAGCCATGCATCTCAAAACTAAGTGGACCTGCCTGCAATTGGTACTGTGTAGCTAATGCCGGCAGACAGATCAGATCTCTTCTTTGCTGAAGAAAGAATTCAGGCATTTTATGGTCAAGGAGCTCTATTCACACTAAGTGTGACAACAAAATAAACTAAATCACAAGCTTTCTAATAACTTCCAGGAGTCAGTAAGTAGGAATACACCTCATCACATGATCAGAAAAGAAAAGCAGTATTTCAACAGCGACACAAACACACACAATTGTCCAGTCAATAGCCACTAAAAAAATCATGAAATCCTTTCATCTTAACCAGGCAATGTAGGAGTGAATCTTCATGTTGATTTCAAAGTTAGTTTTATTTATCTGAGATTTTCCCTTCTATTATTTACAACTTCTTTTCATGGAGGCAAGTGGACAATCATGCAGAGTGAAACCTTGTAAAATATAATTTCTATGGTGTTGCTATGCATAAATGTGACTTATTCAATTAGCTACATGCAAAAAAAAATCCCCTTTGCTCTTCTTTTTTGTTCTCTAATACTTAAAAATGTAAGACATATGCTATCTATCTATCTATACTTATATATGTATATATTTAAAATGAAATTGCAGCATTTAAAGTTAAACCAAGCAAACTAGGACAGCCAATTCCCTAAGCACCAGCATTCTATTTTGCCCATAGTTTTAAGATAATTACCCTCCTTATATACCCATACTGAGTTTGAGATTATTTAACACATGAAACTCACCATAACTGAAAAGAAGAAACAATGGACATTCCAAAAGCAAGTTTGAGGCTCCATGTCAACAGAAAAGGCGGAAGGAATTTTAAGATTATGATGGCATGCTAATAGGGGTAGTTACCACAACTCACATTTCTAAAATAGAAGAGTACGTAACTATTACAGAAGGAAGCCACAACGGTGCTTCCCTTGCGGGTTCAAGTCTATGATCTTTAATAAATTTAGTCATCTTAAGGGAGGCTAAGGAAATGGATTTTCCTAAAACTCACCCTCCTTTCCAAAAACTACAAGAGCAGCAAGAAGCTTGGCGGTTAAGCCCTCACGTAATTATGTGAGACTGAATAGCAATCTGAGCATGCACTCTGCTGTTTAAATAATGACAATTAAAAACTCTGAGAGCGCCCAAGTCATTACAGCCGAGATCCCCAAAGTTTTTGCAATCAGCTAATCAGAGGGCCCCTGCTCATTTCCTGTTTGACAATCAAAGCAGGAAATATGGAGACCACTCCGAAGAACCAGTAAGTGAATTAACCGTTCCCTTTTCCTCCAACCTTCCTTGTAAATGTCGGCTTTCGCCACCACGCTTGTCAAGAAAAGAAGACTCTATCTAGTTTGACGCTCTTTTCTAATATCTGGGACCCTTTCATTGCACTATTGAGAGATATTTAAAAGGTAATGCTTTCCTAACTTCCTTTTAAGCAATTACGACATAATGCTACATTAGTAATGTACATCTTCCTTGGTGGGAGTGTGGGGGCAAGCAATCAGGAAACTCAATGGGCAGTTATGTTGTTCTTGTGCTCCATAATGCATCTTTTCATGAACAATAAAAAGAAAGGAGGCTGCATTAGTCATCAGTGCATCCACAGTAGCATGCTTTCTGTTCTGCTTTGTTAATTACAGGATCAGCTTTCAGTAAATCTCAAATAACAAGCTGCATGCGCCCAGCAGGGCAATGGAAAGATGCCTTGCTCTGCACAAAGCGCAACAACAATGACGTTCTTCTGTCCCATCTCCAAAAAAAAGGGCTCTCATGGAACCAAAGAGAAGAGAGAAACAAAGGCAGCGGGGAGCAAAGGGAACGTTCAGTTTGCTCGCTAGTCCATAGTGCGTGATAAAGGACGTGCATAGAAACCTCTAAGTGCAAATGTTAACTGCTTTCAGAAGAGGAAAGTGTGAACTGTACTCATAAAAATCAAATGATGAAACTGAGAGAAACCCACCATCGAACTTCTCCGGAACAACGCAGGTGTCATCATAGAACTGCCTGGGGCCCTTTTCAAACATGCAGCCTGTGGGGGGAAGAGCGGGACATGGTTATTAATGATAGAATATGAAATTAAACTCCAAAGTTCTTTTTTGGGGGGGTGAGGGTGGAGTTTTGAGACAGGATTTATCTGTGTAACAGTCCTGGCTGTCCTGGAACTTGCTTTGTAGATCAGGCTGGCCTCTAACTCCCTGAGATCCACCTGCCTCTGCCTCCAAAGTGCTGGGATTAAAGGTGTGTGCCACGACCACCCCACCCTCCTAAACTCTTTAATCACTAACACAAAAAGATACTTTGAAAATGATTCTGCCACTTTCCAGCTGTTTGATATTGGACACATTAGTTTGGCTCTTTGCCTCAGTTTCCCCATCTATCAAATGGGGAGAGTAATAGTGCTTTTGTAAGGACTGATGACTTTCATGCACTCCAATTTAGAGGGTGCCATTGCACAGTATGTATAACCATCAGAGATTTATAACTGCTGACCTAAGCCTAGACCTTACCAAAATATTGGCAGACCTAGGCTTTATAATGCATCATTTTGTTTTCTGACTCCTTTGTTTCATTATTCAAGAGAGGGACAGCAAATTGAATTTCTGGGATTGTCCTTTATTTCTGGTATTGCCCCTGGCACTCTGAAACTGATTTAGTTTACCCTTTACTTCCTTGTGGAAATATCTTGGGAAGCTAAGCTTCTCACTTCAAAATCCTTTTTATTCTACTTCGTGTGTGTGCTGTGCACACATCACAGCGTGGGCCGGAAGGACAACTTGTGGCAGTGAGCTCTCTCCTTCCACCACGTGGGGTTGTGCATTGAACTCTGCTGCTAGGCTGGGTAGCAAGCGCATGCATTCACTTCGTCACGTGACTCACCAACCCCTTCTCTTCATTAATACCCAAGAGAGTGAGAAAGCGGGTTTTATCACTGTTTTTGTTTTGTGCTATACAATACCTCAGCTCACAGAAAGAGTAAAACTGATACCTTTTAATAATCATTTTTTCTCTCTCACATACTTGACTTCACCTAATTTTCACCTTTAATTATAGGAAGAAATTTCGCACAATTTAAACATAGCTTTATTCATCAACTACAATGTTCTCTATGGTAGGTTTATAATATCAACAACATCAGCAAAAGTAATTTCACGCACTGGTGCAAAGCTTTTGCTCTCAAGTATTTTAAAATTTATTGTCATCTGCTGTCACTTAAACATTGATTAATATCATTCATATAAAATCATGAATATTAATCCTACCTGAAAAGGTTGTGTCTAAGGCAATTTTACAGAACAAACATGTTGTTTAAGTCAGAGTTCCAGGAATCCCTCAGTGGAGATAATATCCAGATAAAATCATTTCTTGTCTATTGCTTTGCAGATGTCAAAATCTATTAGAGCAGAGAGTTCCACCGTGGCTACCTGAAACAATAACTCCTTCTCTGCACAGCTTATGTCAATCCATTCTTAACAATTACTTTTCCAAAAGGTACAAAATCCAGGACACTGAATGGCGAAATCAATCTACCATGTTTTACTACAAAACTGTGACTTCGGTTTATAAAGTTATAGCTGAATATTCTCCAGGATATAAGTCGGCAGAGTGGAGGAAGGTATGTAATCTGTAAAGAGCAATTTCTAGTTTAAAAGATTGCTGGGTGCTGGCAGGGAAGAACAGAGTTATTTGTGTGGAAAGGACTCAGGCTAATAACCAAGTACGAGCTACCAAGATATCAAAGCCTATCCTTTCATTTTCCAAAGACAGAGTGTGGGGTTTGTTGTTGCTTTGGGGTTTTTGTTGTTTTATTCCTGTTTGTTTATTTGTTTGTTTGTTTTTGGCCTTACTAGGGACTGAAACCAAGGCCTTCGGTCTATTGGCCAACCACTCTGCCACTGATCATCCCCAACCCCAAATGATAATTTTTAAAATAAGGTTTTAGGATCACAAATGCATTTTCCCAAAGCACACAATGAATGAGTAAATCAATCCAAATTTGGAATGGGTGTTTATTTTTAATGTTATTATAAGGAATTTTAAAACATGGAGAACTTAACTTCTGTTCTGCTTGGATGAGCCAGGAAGCCTTCTTGCCTCATATAAATGGAGTGGCAGCTAGGCACTTCTGAAAGAAGAAACAAAATTTGTCAAAGAGAGGTAGGTTAGAAGGGCAAGACAGGTGGAAGGTAGACAGAAATGAACAGAAACATCAAGAGTCCGGAAGAGTGAGCCTGTCAGCACATGGTGAACATTTTCAGGGGGCCTCCAAGAACCTATAGCTTAAGATATCACAGTGAAGCTTGACTCTCTTCAATAAGCAGGTGAACATACTTTTACCCACTCAACTTTACTGAAGCTCAGCAATACCACACTATGTCACACCAGTCTGTTTAAGGGCAAGTGAAATTAATTTATATACCCCACATTATTCTGTCTATGCACACTGCAAAACTCCAAGGCTCAGTTATGGATGACTTCACAAACACTAGACAGAAATGACTAAGAAAAGATAGGATAATTAAATCTCATGAGTTATCTTGAGATTTTTAAGGTTTTTAATTGTTTTTATTAGATAACAGCCTATCTGGTTTTTCATTTTTATTAATAATATAGATCATGTTCAAAGCTAACAAACAGTACATAGTAAACAGATTCACAGTGCCTGTGCTAAGAAAAAGCCCCACCTACAGGGCTAAGGGGTCTGGAAAGGAAAACAAGCATGGCTAACCATAAAGCTTGACTCGCAGTGCTAACTCAGAACTGAACACGTTCAGTGATTATGACATGGAAAAATAAATAAATATGGCTCAGGAGACATATGATTTAAATTCAAGTCCTTATTATCATAAAAGCTACTTAAGTTTGGACAAACCTTCCTTTACCTGTATTTCTATAAAATAAAGGGTTGAGACATATTCCCTAGCACCTATTACAGTTCTCCAGTTCCAAGGTGCTGAGGGCAGACAGATGTATAACAGCCCCCAAAATTAAGGGTCTTCCTGTATTTTAGGAGTCTCTTCTGAGCCCTGCCTAATACCTATATTTGTACTTCATTTTTATTTATTTTTCTTAAATCTAGTTCCTCAAAACACAAGTTTCAGATCTCCCAGACTGAGTCCTACCCTTGAATGTATAAACACTTGATCAAGTCAATTAGAACATATGTACGGTTTACTAGTTTGGTTTTTTTTTTTTTAAGCAACATAAAAAAGGAAATCTAAATGTGTACCACAAATGCAATACTTAATACAAAAAATTTCCCTCCTTTCCACTGCTTGTAATTCAAATATACCATCCTTAAAGAACGAATCTCAAAGCCCAGTCTCTTCAGATCTATCCATCTATATACTCATTGTAACAATAGATAATCAATACCCTTTATTTCCCATTTTCCCATTTTCAAAGTCAGTATTTTTGTTTGTTCGGTTTGATGACAAGTGACAATTTTTTGGTTTAATGTCAACAAAAATATGAGCAATTATTAACATAAAATTTTTTTAACCCACACGGTTTTAATCTAAAACATTTCACCAGTAAGCCATAATTCTAACAACATTTAAAAAGTATGTTTTTGGTGGTACACACCATAGTCCCAATATTCAAGAGGCTGAGGAATAAAGACTGTGAATTTGAGATCATTCTGAGTTACACAGAGAGACTCTCTCAAAGCGTAAACAACAAAACAAAACCAAGCCAAGGAGGTAAGAGGCTGGGCATAGAGTTCAGCAGTAGACCCTCGTATAACATGCACTGGCCCTAGGCACAGTCCCCAGCACCAGAAAAACAAAATCCAATGCTTACATGAAATAAAAAGTACATGAGAAAGCATAGTCTATGGGGTGAGGACAGTGGTAAACTTGCAAACACACTTTTTCTATAACACAGTTTATTCACTTTATTATATCATGCATAATTCTGAGTCTATGAAGGTAAAGTGACTCTTTTCCTGACAATATTGATAATAGGTCAAATAGTTAGAAATCCACTTTAAACTAATGAGGAACCTTGAAATTAATTTTTAACGTTATTCTGATTTACTGCCAGGCATAAGGTCCCTCAAAACAGCTGGGCCTGGAAGGGACAGTGTTAATGACTGCAGTCGGAGCAACAGCTGCTCAGAGGCAAGCTTTTTGTGTTGACATGTTGACACCATGCCACAAAAATACTCTTACTGACTGCTGCACACCTGGAGCGCGGCTGTAAGAACAGCTGGCGAGCTCTGAGGCAGCTAGAGGGAAAGACAGAGGCTGAAGTCTATTACATATAAGTGTGACTAAACGTGCTTTCCTTCCCAGAGCAGGAGAAAGAGGAAATGCAACTATTTCTGAAGAACCTAGTATCCAAGGCTGAAGGACACTTACGGAGAGTGTTCTAACACGGTGTAAAATTAGTGTAATCCTGGAAATCTAGACACAGTGTCAGAGATACTTTATGCACAATTTGTCTAATTCTCCTGCAGCTGGAAAAACAGCTGCTCTTATACTATACTGTTCTTCGAAAATTCTAGGTCTATCTAGAAATTTAAAATATTGTCCTAAAATTTATATTTAAAAAAAACCAGTGACACATAATAAGGTCCAGGTAGAACTTTCATTCTAAAGAAGACAATGGGTAACAATTTATGGAGAGAATTGTGCTTTTCCAATTCCTGCCATTTATTACATGAGAATAAATAAAATTAGCAACTAGTTTTTAAAGGCAAGGCCTTGGCTATCATTTTTAAATCCAGTCTGCCCTTAAAATGGATGCCATTTATATAGTCCAGAGAAGCTAGAAAAAAAATTAAATAAAAGAAAGGGATAGGAGGTTTATTCACTAGAATAACTAAAGTCATGTTATTCTAAAGTGATATCAGTTAATTTATGACTATCAGAGTGGGTCAGACTCTAATCAAATTGTAGAAACATTTCCAAAGTGATTATTCAATCAAATGACTAACATGGTTAATTAGGGGCCGTAAACATTGCTCTGAAGTTCATCAAAGTAATGACTTGCCCAGAAAAATTACTGCTAATTAAATTGCCTGCTGCTTTCATTTCTACCTTATCTAATAAAAAAATGTCCAACTGGTGAGACTTGGCATTCCATCTGAACTTTTGCTAAATGTTCAATGAAGATCCAAGCTGGGCTAAGTGGGGACTTCAAAGGCCAATGTTTGGTGACAGAGAATGGAGGTGTCTGTCGCTGGGCAGGGCCTTCCACTTTCCTGTGGAAGGAAGGACAACGCAAGAGCTACAGCCTAGTGTAGCCTGACCTACACAAGCACGCTAGGACGGCAGGACATTTACACTGTTCTGTCTGGCATCCTCTGGTTATAATTTTAGGATGACTAACACAGCCCAGTGATGGCCAGCAACCTCTTTGTCACCTACTAGGCACAAATTCAAGTCGAGGGTCTCTTGTTTCAAGGGAGTGTAGCTCTTGGCAGGTTAGTTAACAGATCTTTCCTCAACCTTCTCATCTGTGAAATGAGAGTGCTAGTGATACTTTTAAAAGTGTTGTAATATTTCCACTAGCGAAGGATTTAGGATATAATTACATATTTCAATAATTTACTTGTATATCTTAATTTCATGTTCTTAAATTCCATGAGCTGGTTGATTTGTTAGTTACTAGTGTAGTTATTCTGGAATAGACTCTGTAAACCTATCTCTTAATCTATGATATCTAAAAATATACTGATTGAACAGTCATGAATTTATGATTAAGCCAGAATTTCCACCAGACATTTTATATACTCAAGAATCCATCTTTGAACTTCATATTTTTGCAATATTAACCCTTGTTGTTTGTTCTTAAACAACACTGGCTTAAGGAGTTTAAAAGTCAGTCTATAAATTGGATTATGTAAATTGAATTTAGGACAAAGGATTTTTATTGATGTAGAAACTTGTGGATCAAAGCGTTCTAAAACTCGATATTAGTGCTGACCAAATCAGCTCTTACAAATCACAGTGTCTGTAATTTGTTTCAGATGAGCTTTTGTCATGATGAAAGCTGATCTAATATGCTGTAAAAATTCAAAGCAGTGAAGTGCTGTTGGCATCTCCAGGCTTCGGTTCGTGGAGGTGGAATCAGGAACAAAGCACCGGAAGTCTCCAAACTGCCCGCTTGGGTTAGGCTTCATGTAGTATCACTATTAAAGGTATCAGATTTGAAATGATACAGAAAGTATCACTTCATATCACGATACATGTGTAAGAAATTTTAAAAAAAAAAAAAAGCTGTTTTCTCCCTCTTTGCCTTACAAAGTAAAGCTGTGCTGGAAAACACAATACTGACGTGGGAAGCTTTACCAAAAGTTTTACCACAAAATAAAGCTTTGAGTTTTGCACATGTAATATGCCAGGCACTCCTCTGATTTGCATATTTGCTGCTCAGTTGTACAAAATGAAAATTCCCCTTTAGGGTATCATTTGTGTAAGCTTCCCAAAGCCATGCCAGACCCAGAGAGGAAAGATTAGTCATGATTGGCTAGGGCAGTTTTAGTGGTTGCTGAAACTGCTTTGTTACCAAGCAGTGTATAAACCTGGGATTATCTCATATAACAAACCGAACAAGGAGGTTGAGAAGGGAGACTCCTTCATTTGATGCTTCTGGCTGGATTCCTGCAGTAATAATCAATGTACATCTTAATCCAGCTTCCAAATGTCTTAAGGTAAATGAGAAATCCCAGGAAAGTAAAAGTAGCTCACGACTCTGTCTTTGCTTTCCTTTAAATTAGAATGCAGAAGTTGACTGGCTGTACAATTTAACTCCTTGTGGGAGTGATGTGACTGCATAGAGTCCATATGGACCTATTCATTCATTCATTCATTCATTCATTCACTTTTAAGATAGGGTCTCATTGTCTCTTCCTGAATGACTCTACCCACTACTGGGATCACAATCATGAACCACCATGCTAAGCTCTGTTCAACACATTCGGATAATGGATGAAAACTTAAAATATTAACTATACAGAATCAAAAATGATGTATTGTGTAAAACAATGCAAATCTGTAAAAGGTGTAGGGGTGTGTGTGTGTGTCCACTTCAATACAAACCTGGAAGATTTAATCACTTTTGCTAGTATTATTAGTCAACAAATTTCTAAAAATTGGTGTATTAAACCCTGACACAGCC